CACGACCAAAAAAACGGTGTAAAAGGGTTAGTTAATCACTCTAATATGGACTGTATCATATCGCCCCATTATATTTTTAATCAGAAAGGGATGAGATAGCGCAGTCACATGATCAAGTGCGCTATTGTTGGTGATCACTTGCCCATGGAACCACATTGGTTTGAATTTAGGGGGTTAATAAAAAATAGAGTCACATTAGATGGTATAGGAGGCCTGCTACGAATTGAACAGACCGGAGTACAATTTTAAGTAGGCAATTCACTTTTTCAAATTTTATAGAAAATCAAACAGATTCAGAACAAGAAGTCAGTCATACAAATAAAATAAACACAAACTGATACAAAGAATTAACGAAAAAATTGAATCAATAGTTGTAGTGATATGAATAATTTAATGAACAAAGAAATAATACGAAGGACAGATGGTATTACAAAATATAAATGATAAAAATCAAAATAGAAAATGCGAAGGAAACTAACAAAACAAACTTCCAGCTCCTAGTAAATGGAAAACTGTCTGCTGAATATCTCCACTATCTTGAAGAGCACAGGTCAATGATTTAGACAGCTTCCAAAAATGAACGAACTTTATCACGGGGACAATAAAGAAATTCACAACGTCATAGACCAAAAGAGGAAAGTCTTTTACCGTAAACGACCACAAGGCGGCGTTGCGATGATCAGTAAGTATTGATGTTTCTGGGTGTGTGGTCTATTCAGAGTGTCAGTGACAGATTGTCACAGGTGATCATCAGTCTTTTCGTGTAGTTTGAGAATCAGTCTGAGTATCAGTAAACTTACCAATCCCAGACAGAGACAGAGAGACTCGATAAGTGTTTCAGAGAAACAGTTATCAGTAGCTAGGATCGGGGTGGCTATAGGGGAGGAATGAGGCCAAGGGCCGGATTCTCGTCTCAGAGAGTAGAGCTCCCCGATAGAGCGAATATTTTGTCCTTGTCAACGTAATCGAAAATTAAACGAGAATGATAAAGACGAAAAATTTGTTCTCTCGGGGAGCTCTACTCCCTGGGACGAGAATCCGGCCCCAGGGCTGAAAGCAGGGTTGCCACATTTCAATTTTGAAACATCGGGACGGAAAAGAAGGTGGTCTAAAAAAAAACAATATGCCCCCCCCCCCGTGGTTTGCATAAGTAAAACATTGCATCTTTGATATTCATTCATTCTTATTCATATTTGTCATAAGCAATCAACGTCATAAGATTCAAAATTTTTCAATATGTCCTCGCCCTTGGAACTTTTCAAATACCTACGTTGTCAAATCAGAAACGACGACCCCCGCTATCATTAGTAGAAAGAGAAGAGAGAAGTTGTATAATATTATGGTCTAGAAAGAAAAAAGAACATCGTTTTATAGTCAGCACTTGTCGTTGTCGACCGAACTGAATGTTTGAAAGTAGGCAATCCACAATTTCTCTAGCCGTTGGGAATATATTAAGGAAAATCGGAAATCGGGATATATTCTCGTACATAATTAAAAATCGGGACTCTCCTGCCTAAATCGGGACGTCTGGCAATCCTGGCTGAAACTCTGTAACAATCAGTAACAGATAGAGATCGTTATCCATATCGCTATGACACTTGCTGTCGTTTTCTCTTTTGTCGATATCAATAGAAAAGGGACGTCAATAGAGATAGAGAAAAGATCTCTATTCGTTACAGAGTTCTAGGGCAGGGCCCCATCTCAGTCATGGTTACCACAACAGGGGAACCAGGATCACATCTCAGTCATGGTTACCACAACAGGGGAACCAGGATCACATCTCAGTCATGGTTACCACAACAGGGGAACCAGGGCCCCATCTCAGTCATAGTTACCACATCAGGAAAACTAGGGCCCCATATAAGTCATGGTTACCAAATCAGGGTCCCATCACAGTCATAAATGAAGTGTCTTTCGCGAAACCTTCGATATCCGGAAAATGGCTCTATTGAAAAACTAAAATCTTGTTTAAAAATTCGAGACGAATAGAAGCAAATTGTCTAGACAATTCTAGAAGCGATGACGCGATATAAAACGGAGTCGGCCGCCGAGGAAAGGTCACTGATTAATTCAACGTTAGTTTATCCAGAATTGGTTAGTTCATAACGAATAAGTTAATAATTGGATAATTAGAGGAACGCGAGTCGATGTAGAGAGTTATTGGACGTGCAATAGGGACAAGCAGTATTCAAATTAGCCTCATTTTGACATCTACGCATGCGCATTTGCGTCTAAAAATAAGGTTACTGCTTGTCTTTATTTGTGTATGGTTAGTACGAGGCAGTAAGCTCCCCTCATTTCAATATTTCTGACATTTTTGACGACTTTGACGTTTCGCTTTTCGACGATGACGTAATTTTACTTATTGAATTTGTTTTTTACAATAGTTTTACATTTTACTGTAGGTAACATCAAAAAATGAGTAAGTATCAGCAGAAAATCACAAACAAAAATAAATCTTTTTTGAGATTAAAATTTATAAACATAGCTATTAGCTGTCAAAATTATGAATACAACAAAATAGGGTATTACTCAAACACCTACTACAGTCTTCCAATAACTGTTATTTTCTTGGAGAAATAGTGCTGATGTACTTATAAAATAACGTAGATCCTTAATACTGCAAGGCAGTATTCAATAGTTCCAATAACTGTCTAGCTTTGTTTTAGTTCGAAATCTAGAACGGTTCTGGAAATGCGCAGAACAGCTTCCGCACAGAAAATAATGGAGGACTATTCTCTGATACTAATCCTAAACCGATTTGAAATCAAAAAAACCAAAACAAGCCGGATATTTCAAAATGTCAGAACAGTTCCTCCTTCAGAGCAAGAATTGAGAGAATCATTTTAGAACAATCCCAGAATTGTTCTTATCTTTGTTTTGGCACAGTTCGTGCTCTGAAGGAGGATTTGTTTTGGAATTTTGTAATTGGTGGCTTGTTTTGGTTTTTTTGGTTCCGGATCGGTTCAGAATTAGTGTTGGAACAGTCCCCCAATATTTTTTGTGCGCAAGCAGTTCTGCGCAATCTCAGAACCGTTCCCAATTTTGAACCAAAACAGAGCTCTTATATAGTTCTAAATAAACCAAAATGCTGTCGACACAAGCATTGTTTTGGTTCGAAATTTGGAACGGTTCTGGGATTGCGCAGACTGCTTGCACACAAAAAATAATAGAGGACTGTTCTAATACTAGTTCTGAACCAAAAAACTCAAAACACGCCGCAAATCACAAAATTCTAAAACAGTTCCTCCTTCAGAGCAAGTACTGAGAGAACTAGAACAGTCCCAGGACTGTTCTTAAATAGTTCTAGATAAACCAAAACAGTAGCTTTGTTTTGGTTTCACTCAGAACTAGTTCGGAATCATTCTGCACATGCGCATATTATAAAACGCGTTTTCGTTTTTTCAGAATCGTAATCGAACTGTGTTGACAGTCTTTGGTTTATCTAGAACTATTTAAGAACAATTCTGGGATTGTTCTAGAACGGTTCTCTCAGTTCTTGCTCTGAAGGAGGAACTGTTTAGAATTTTGTGATTTGCGTCGTGTTTTGATTTTTTTGGTTCCGAATCAGTTCAGAACTAGTATGAGACAGTCCTCTATTATTTTTTGTGCGCAAGCAGTTCTGCGCAATCCCAGAACCGGTCCGAATTTCGAACCAAAACAAAGCTACTGTCAACACAGTTCGATTACGATTCTAAAAAAACGAAAACTCGTTTTATAATATGCGCATGTGCAGAATGATTCCGAACTAGTTCTGAGTGAAACCAAAACAAAGCTACAGTTCGATTGCGATTCTGGAAAAAAGAAAACGCGTTTTATGAAATGCGCATGCGCAGAATGATTCCGAACCAGTTCTAAGTGAAACCAAAACAAAAATAAGTAAGACAGTGAACCGTGATTTAGTTTTGTGCATAGTTGAGCTTGATCGTAGTCAAACGACGTGTTGTAACATCCAGTTTCATCTTGATTTTTGGGTTGAATAAAGATTAGAAAACGAAGTCAATTCTATTAAAATATTAGCAGCCTCTAACCATATCAGAGCCTTCTTCAGGGCAGCAAAAGCAACTTATGGATTCTCTACAAAAGATCCAAATCCTCTAGGATCTAGGGAAGCAGAGACATAGAAAATACAAGAAACGAATTATGATTTTTTTAGGTTTAGTTGAAAAAGGTTGATGTCCGTATTCTGGCTGACGAAGTAGGTATATACAAATATTATCAAAGAAATGCTTGGCCAGCTGCTACTCAATTGCAAATTTCGAATAAAAATACTACCTCAACTAATGAAGGAATTAACACGATATGCTAAATGCTGCAAATTCAATTTTTTCCAAAGTTATTTCCAAAAAGAAATTTCCAAATAACAATTTCACTAAGAGTTACGGTCCGTTTTAACGATCGTAGGCTTTCGTGTTTACCCTCGTGGCATACTCCACTTTTTTACTATTATTTTGATGAATGACAAGAGGGTGCTTCGAAAAGTAGGAAGGATTTTTTATGTTTTTTCAAACTGGCCCCAAAATAATAATATGGGGTCCTCGAGACGGCAAGTGCACCGTTGAATAGCTTACATCTGTTGTCCCCGGACTATTTTCAGTTTCAGATTCTTTTGTGTTGTTTTTGCGAATAATAAAGACATTATTCACGGTAAATAACTTTTGGAGTTTTTTTTGCCTACACCTACCCTAGGGAGTTATTTTGAATATTAAAAAAAAAACAACAACATTGTTTCCTTCCTCTCGACACCCAATGCTCATGCATATTCATGTGCGTAAGACCAATTATTTAAACAGACCGCTGCCACAATTTCAAGAGAAACAGCCTCACTTGAAGCGGTTAGGATGAAAAAAGACACAAAGCAAATATGTGGATTTTAAGAGGATTAAAAGCACCGTGAGATAAACGAACAGGTACTTCAATTGGGCTTATGGGTGGCTTTCAATAGAAGCTGGAAGGTTGTTAAAAAGTTCAAGCATCTGAAAAAATCACTATCGACTTACCTTGATCACAAAGAATACCACCCCAGTTGGTGTCGCATATACACTGCCAGGAAGAACCATTGCAGTACCCGTGTTTACATCCTGGATATGGTTCGCATAGGTCGCAAAAGTCTCCACGCCATCCTGGTCGACAACTAAAAGAAAAATCATATTATTCAATATGTTCATTTATCTTTGTTTTCCTTATTAGATTATTTCTAACATTATTTGGGAATATTAGGAAGAAAGTGCGATACACTTGATTATTTGGTATATAGAATTTGGTACATATATGGAAATTTCAATTTGTATTCCATAAAACAATAATAACAATAATAACAATTATTATTTTTTGTTTGCCTACCATCTCAAAACTAATCTAGTATGATGTACCGATAAATCACCCTATTGGCAGCCAGAAAAATTCGTATTGTAATTAATTAAAGTCACTATATCAGGCCGTATCCCAACATACTTTCTTTCCTAATTGAAAAAATAATCAATCAAACGCAATTACTAACAACAAATCGTGCCGAAGACATTTGGCCGTTACTCGCCATAAGATCGGTTTGTACTACAACAGGCAGCATTTCTTGGACAATCGGAATCGATGCTGCCAGTTTTAATTGTGAGAAAATAACACGAAGGAATGAGTTGACTTTAACTGGTCATAGTGAATTAAACGAGTAATTTTCTTGTTATATCCGTAAAAAGACAAGGAACTAATTATTATTGTGAGTATTGTCATATTTTATGTTCAAGAATTATCTAAAAGGCAAAGGCAGGTATTTTAAATGACTGATAGATGAAGAAGTTGAAGTAAATAACGCAGAAAATCCAAATCACCATGTAATTATTACTTCACAAATGTAATTGCATCAGTTTTATTTAAATACGCTATCGTTAATATACAAATCGGCCATAAACCAGAGCTAATTTGATTAAGCTCTTAAAAGAAATTTTTTATCCTGAGTTTTTTGCAGCATTAATTTAATTAAATACGCTTCTTTGGTCTTGGCGCCTCGAGCGGCCTTTAATTAATAAAGATTAATTGCTGCAGTATATTCGCTTCTAATGCGTTTTCTGATCTTTGGTCGTCAATTTTTTATTCAGTAAAATTAGTTTTAACACTACAGCTCATGACAATAGACGATTAAATATATTTTTTGCAGAAAGAGCACCAAAATCTTCACACTTCACACCAGACGATATAAACTGTAACTAACCCATTAGCGACTCGTGCCTGAGAGATAAATAAAAAGAGGTTCAAGGAACGAGACTAGTTCAGAATAACTAATTAGAGAAGATTCTCGAAAATCATCACCAGATGAGCAACGAGCCCTGAGTAGTAGGGTGAATAGGGTGAAGTGAGACAATTTTTAGAATCGTTAACAGAAGGTTCAGAATAAGATACTTATCCTGAGGAACTTATTAAAGAGGAAGCGCGTCAAAAATCATTACTAGAAGCTTCATAAAGCAACTAGTTCATTAGGTATTGTTACATATGCAGATAAAGTGTCTTCCGGACTTAATTAAAATTCATTTAAAACAATTACACAGAATCTCAATTAAAACTAGCACTACTAAGGGCCGGTTTATCAATCAAGGGATAACTCGCAGAGTTTCCTGACCCTGAGTCAACTCTAACTTTGGGCTAACTAGCTAGTTAAGTCGAAAGGTGTTTATCCAAGCTTTTTTAACCCAGGGCTGGTAAACTCTCGGGTTCTTCGAAGGTTGGTACTACTTATGCAACGTTGCCAGCTCACTTTTATTTATTTTTTCACATTTTCTGCTCATAACCTTACTTAATCATGTTATTTTTTTTTTTTTCGTTTCCTTAGGGCATTTATACCAAAGTAGCATGCGACGTGCTACAGTGCGACTTGCTGCTAGAAAGCACGTTGTAACTTGAGTTTTCCATGTTTACATTTATACCAAAGGCCATTTGAAGATGCACATATTTACAGATTCGGATATATATCCTTTTGAATGTAACATTTGCAAAGCGAAATTTAAACGAAAAGGTGTTTTGAAGAGGCACATGCTAACACACTCAGATATTTATCCTTTTGAATGTGACACTTGCAAAGTGAAATTTAAACAGAAAGGCAATTGGAAAATGCACATGTTAATACATTCGGATATTCATCCTTTTGAATGTGACACTTGCGAAGCAAAATTTAAAACAAAAGGCGTTTTGAAGAAGCACATGTTAACACACTCGGATATTTATCCTTTTGAATGTGACACTTGCAAAGCAAAATTTAAAACAAAAAGCGTTTTGAAGATGCATATGGTGACACACTCGGATATTTATTCTTTTGAATGTGATACTTGCAAAGTAAAATATAACCGAAAAAGCGATTTGAAGAGGCACACTTGGATATTTAATGTTTTGAACGTAACACTTACAAAGCAAAATTCAAATGAAGAAGACCATCACATATTAACACATTCGGATAATCATCCTTTTGAATTTGACACTTGCAAAGCAAAATTCAAACGAAAAGCGATTTGAAAAGGCATAATATATCATATCATGCGTGCGACCGTGCAACTTGCTGCTAGAAAGCAGGGAGCACGTTGCAACTTGAGTTTTCCATGTTTACATTCATACCAAAGTCACAGTGCTACCATATTTATCGATACACCTCTACGCAACAAGTCAAAAATAAACAACGTTTGTGCGTCTTGCAAGTACCTACGTCGCAAACTATTAAAATATATCTACATGTTCCAATCACTCCGGTGTGAAACCAGGCATATATTTCTAGGTCAAGTTTCGAAAATAATAGGTCTGTTTCTGCAGAAATCACAAACCAGTCAGAGTGAATTTCACTGGTAATTTGCTCTGACTGGTTTGTGTTTTCTGCAGAAACAGACGTATTAGTATGCTTCCTGCTTTCTACCAGCAAGTCGTAGATAGCTTGCTACTTATTTGATGTGAATACCCACTAGCGGAAAGCGAAAAGTTTGGTTTTGTGTATTTTGTGTAGAAACAAATATTATACTCGAATTCTCAACAAACATAGGTTTGTTGGGAATTCAAGTCTATGCTCGATTTTTTCTAGAATAAATAAAATTGTTTCTTTCCGTAAGCGAAAACGTGCGAAGAAATTGACGTCGTCAAAATCCTTAAAGGGATTTGACCGATACCTTAGGTGCCTGTGGTAGAGGCGCCGCTTATGCATGTTCCAGAAATTCTAGAACATCTTGACCATCATCACTGAAATCCAGGTCCTCCATCTCGTTACAATATCAAAATTCAAGCCAAAACCAGCATTTAAAAAAAAAATCAGTTAAAAAATAAGATAAAATGTTGAGGTGAACCCCGAGTCAAATACGCTAACTTGCCGCGAGAGTGCGGGTTAACTTTTTCCTGGAATAACTTTCGAGTTAGTAGTTGACCCTGGATGAATAAACACTCATCACAACTTTGACCCAAGGTTATCCGTAACTCACGGGGTAACCCTCTATTGATAAACCCCCTTAAACACTCAAACTGCTCAGTGGGTCGATTCCCAAACAGGGACCGTTATGTCCCTGAATTCACGTTGGTCATTACCTGAAAAAAACTTTCTAACAATTTTCATTGCCAACGAAAGCTCAGACCAATCAGTGTAGTTCAATGCCGGTAGGGGTATTTGCCCTCGGAGTAGTTGTTTCTGACTGGTCAACGAAGTTCAGAACTATTTATACCCAGGTTTACTCAGATGATGTAGTGACCGTAGTCATAGGGTAAAATTTACAAACTTCTTCTGCGAAAATGCAAAGCGCGCTTAAAATCATGAAAGGCTGGATTAAAGGGGCAAACCTGAGTGTCAAACCTGAGAAAACAGCTATAATCCCTTTCACGAAAAGAAGGAAACTGGAGGATCTAGTGCCCCACTTTCTTCGCAAAGCAAATAAAATTCGTCCGGGAAGTCAAATACCTACGAATTATCCTGGACCACCAACAAAAGTAAAATGGCGCTTATGGCTACCAAAAGAGAAGTGAGAAAAACATGGGGATTTCTACCCCACATAGTACATTGGATCTATACAGCAGTGGTAAGACCCAGAATAACCTACGGATCAATAGTCTGGTGGCCAAAAGTTGAACAGAGCAAAGCAACAATGGAGCTATCCAAACTTCAAAGATTGGCTTGTCTCTGCATAATGAGAAGCACTCCAACTGCTGCTATGGAAAACATACTAAACCTCCCGCTACTTGATATCATTATCAAGGCTGAGGGAAGAATCGGGGCTTACAGACAGAACTGAAAGCAGAAAAGAACATTCGGACATACCAGGATATCAAACATTGTTACAAACTCACTATTTGCGATGAAAAGTGACATCATGACCCCGAGAATTAATACTCACAAACCGTTTCAAAGCCAGATTAACTGGGAAAAGAAAACAGAAAACTCACTTGTCCATAATGGAAAGTTAGTATAGTACACTGATGACTCCAAAACCGACAGTGGAACTGGTGCCGGAGTATATGGCCTATCCCTAAGATCAAAATGGTATTCTCCACTGGGAAAGTACATCACCGTATTCCAAGCCGAAATATATACAATAGAGATATGCCTGCGGGAAAATCTGAGAAAGGAATCTGTGCATAAGGATATCACGATCTTATGCCAACCGATAAACTCTAAATTAGTGTGGGACTGCCTGCAAGTTCTTTTAACCCTGGCCAGCCATAACAAGTAACTCTCGCATGGTTATCGGGGCACACGGGTGTTGCTGGCAATGAAAACGCGGACTTCTTAGCCATGCAAGAATCAGAAAGGCAGTTTATGGGCCCTGAACCCGTATTCGGAATATCAAAAACCTCAATAGGTGGCTGCTTGAACAAGTGGATCCGAGAGGAACACAAAAATCACGTATCAAATACCGAGGCAGCACCACAGTAAGGCCATGGTGAACTATCCTACGACAAGACTAGCCTCTGAGATCCCAAAGTTCACGAGAAATTAGATCAGAATTGTGACGTGACTCTTAACCGGTCTCTGTACTCTGAGGAAACACCGACAAAAGATAGGAATCTACCAAGATGAACCGATTTGTAGATTATAACAAAAAAATCCATCTTTCCAATGAAACATTCTCCAAGTCCATCAAACCTAAACAATATTCAAGCAACTTCTCGCTAATCAATTACCATTAAATCATTAACACAATGTTGCTGGTATCTATTATTACCACATTTGATCATTGTTTATGTCACCAAAATAGACCCGAAGTTTCCTATTTATTCAAATCCTAATGACCAAGAAACCTTTGAAGAAGTTATTTAATGACGATTTGTATTCTTATAAAATCAATAATGAATATAATATTAGTGAGCTTATGGGTTTTTGAGAATTTGAGCTTTCAGATGGATATAGGTCTCAATCACGAACCTAAAAATATTTTCCAAATGATCATCAGGTGGCACTCTATTAACTAACGGAATGCGCACAATAACGACATAATTGGCTCCGAAAGTAATTTGCTGTACATCCGCGCAATTGCCTATAGTTTCAACCTCAACTAAACGGTTTTGCCGTATGTTACGAGATTAAATTATATCAATTGTCGGATTCAAACATAAAGAAGACACGTCAATTATTGGAAGAGCTAAATCAGATTTAGATTAGGCCTCGTTCGCCAATTGCGGAATATATACGTGAGAATCTCGACTGTTTTTAATCTTTGCGGAAATGTTTTGCTTTCCTTTATGGCCTTTTTAAAATCGATTTATTGCGCATATTGATGCCAGAAAAAAAAACTGGACTAGGAAATGAAGCGTTTTTTTTTTTAATGGTTACTTACTTGCATTCTCCGGGAAAATCACATTTTCCATGAAGCGGATGACATCCAGCTTTACATACAGCTTAAAAAAACAAAATGAATTAGTCAAACTATTGCTATGTAAAGTCACAAATTCTTACCTATATCACAAATATTATTTCCTCTCCAACCTTCTATACACTCTTTATCACCATTAGAATCACAGATAAAATGGCCGAACTTGTCGTCTCTGGGCCTACAGAATTTTGTACAAGTAGAATTGTAGTAGTGAATATCACATTTTACTCGCACCCTGTACGTTAGGTGCGCATGAGGACCCCTATGGTTCAACGTGTGCCACTCGGGACTGGGGTCAATTATTCCCGAGTAGGTTGCCTCTTCAATAATGTCGTTAGAAGCTGAAAATGAATAAATAAAAATATAGTGATGACAAGATTTATATGATTAGTTCTTCCTAACTTTTTAACAAGAAATATTCAAACAAATAAGAATGGAATGACAATGACAAATACAATATGATAATAATAATATTGTAACAAAAACTATATACAGAAGATATCAAAAGTACCACATTCTCCCCAAGTTTATTTTTCAGCATAATCGTCAAGATATTTGAGAAATTGTCCAGTTCTTGATCCACGACGGATCTGGTTTTCTAGTTGTGGCTCACTGTGGATAGATTGAGACTGGTTTATTATCTCACTAACATTTTCTTGTTCTATGTCTCGCATTTGTTCTGTGAGAATAGGTTCCTCTAAAAAATCTACACTTTCTTCTGATTGAGAAGGCATATTTATAACATGGTTATCAGCAATATTTTCCGATTGCAGTAGACTTTCATCACCACATGGAGCTGAATGTTTAAGCGAAACCGTTGCTTCTCGTCCATTTGAAAGTCGAACCAACGCATATTGAGGGTTAGCTTCAATGAGATCTACTTCTTCAATGAGAGGATCGTACTTTGATTGTCTGACATGCTTTTTCATATAATTTTTTTCAGAAGTTAGCCATGAAGGTATTGCTGTACCATTCCCTAACCCACTGACCCAGTGGACCATTCTAGTGATTCCAGAATAACACAAAGCTTGATGTAAATCGAATAAAGTTTTCTGACTATTTGAACCACATATTCGAGAAAATGCATCAGCTACTACGTTTCCTCTTCCTGATCTATATAATATATTATAGCTGTAACATGATAGCTCAAGTCGCCATCTTAAAATCTTCTCATTTCTTATTCTGCTACTGTGTTTGGTATCAAACATAAAAGATACAGATTTTTGATTAGTGATCAGCTGAAAATGACTACCAATCAGAAAATATCTCCATTTTTAATCGCTTCGACTATGGAATAAGCTTCTTTTTCAACTGATGCATGATTTTCTTTACACTTACATAGTTTTCTCGAGCAAAATGTAACTGGCCTTCTTGCTTGACTCAAAATGGCAGCAATGGAATGCTCTGAAGTAACAGCTGATTTTGCAATATCCAATTTAAGTTTCTCGAAATTGTTTACACAGATTTCAGGCAACGGAAAAGATTTACAAGAAACAAGTCAATGAATTATCTCCGAAAAGTCAAGGTATCCACTTTGAGTAATGGGCGAACATCCCAAGAGCTCTTTTCAGAGTGAGAGTCTTCAGGTACAGGTAGTTTTCGTAGAGGTTCAAGTCTAACTAGATCAGGTTTCAAGGCATTGTTCTCGATCAGATATCCAAGAAGTTTGATTGATTTTAGGGAGTAAGAACTTTTCTTTTCGTTTATGGTAAAATTGTATTTTCTTACAACGAGTAAAAATTCTTTTAAATTTTTATCATGGTCTACTTGATTTCTACCGCATATATCGTAGTATCATCTAAATATGCATAGACACCTTCAGAATTTTTTGATTTTATTATGTAGTCTATTACCCGCTGAAAACACGCAACTCCGTTTGTCATACCAAAAGGTATTCTTCGGAACTGATATAATTTACCATCTGCCTCAAAAGCAGTATACTGCTTTTTATCGTCACGTATGGGAACTTGGTGATACGCACTTTGTAAATCTATAGTATTGAAAATCTTGAATTTTGCCACAGCACGAACAATATCTTCAATATTGGGAAATATGTCAACTTGTTAATGGTTTGAGAGTAATCGATCACTATCCTTTTCTTGTGTGATTCATTTTTCGTTACCATCACCTATGTCTTTCAGTACTTCCACACAAATAACATTTGTACACTTTCGTAGCAGCGGAAATGAGGTCTTCTTCATGTGTTTCTCTACTTTCAGATTGAATTCAGTTAATCACATCTTGAGAGATGCTATATGCTTCTGAATGTTTTTGTGCCGTTTCAAGATATAGAGCTTAATTCTTGGCTTCATCAAGTTTCAAACTAGTATTCTCCAACAATCGTTGTCGAATTTGGAAAAAGCTTAAGCCACTAATGAAAGAATCTCTACTATAGTAGTTTTGAATTTCTGCATGGCTGACAGCTTTGAAGTTACAGTCTTTACTTAGATGTTTTAGTGCTTGTGAGTACTGATCAACAGTCTCTCTAGGTTGCTGCTTCGTAGAGGCAAATATTTCATTTTTAGGTTTAATGAAAATTGAATCCAAAATCTTAATAGCTTCTGAGTAAGAAGAACAGCAGGATATGTGCTCATAATTGTTGTGGCTTACATAATTCACCAAGAGTTCCAGTTTTCCATCATTCTCTAACTCATCAACGAATGATATGAAATTGCTGAAAGTTGCTTTCCAGTGCAGTTCTTGTGCAGCTTTTGGAGAGTTTTGATCAGCGTCGAATCGTTCAGGCCTTTGGAGTTTATCCATCTTGTTTCAATATGATAATAATTAATACTGGTAACAAAAACTATATACAGAAAATATCAAAAGTACCACAGTACCGTATCTTATTGGCTCGAAATGGATAAAACATACCAGACTAGAAAAAGGTATAATTAAACAAATGACCAAACCCCCTATATTATATTCTAGCAAACAACAAATGCAAAACATTTTATGCAAATTAATCTCTGGCTGGGTGTTCTACTGGGCAAATACATATTAATTGAATCAATTATCAAGGTTTCGAATAAACATTAATCATTATTAACAATATCGAATACGTAATTAGAATAGACAATTTGACATTATTGGACGTATTAATAAATCATCCGGCTTGCGAAAGTGCAAAAAGCCTGTCGTACTTTTGATTGTTATGCAAAAGTAGAAATACGTATGTGGACATTCTTAGATCATTTTTTATTCAAAACCAAGAAATAGCAAATATTACGAAATTTTGTTGCAGTGTCTATAGATTAGAAAATTCAACCTCCATGTTTTCGTTATGATTTCTATATTAAATTTCCCTATATCTTGCTTTGGAAATATTTTCATTTTATGTTTGAGGGTCAATTTCTTTTATTTTTCTTCGTCTGCCCATTGGGTCCTTCATACTCTGACAAATCTTTTTTATGTCTACTATATTTTGAGCATAGGCTTTTCAAGGTGGACTATATTGTTTGTGTAATTTGGATGTTCAAGCTTTCAATGTCTTAATTTTTCTCTATATTTGGCTCTATATGGGTTATCTAGCTAAAACAAATCATCATTCGAGATCAAAAAGAAAGAATGACGGTAATATCAAGATCTGTAAATGATCGTTTTCCAATCAACGCCAAGCAGAACTAGACACAAGACAAGGCTACAAGTTCTTCCCCTACACGCCCAATGGCTTCCAGTCATGGAAAGTCGGGAGCTGACGAGAAGATGAACCCGTTTGCTCCCTGCTCTACTACTCTGTTTGAGTCCATAAAAAGCCTTTTCCAATTTGCAAACCTTGTTTTCAAAACCTGTAATCTCAAAGCCCTCAGGCGATTTCATGAACACATTTTCTTCAAGCCATTCAAAAAAGCTGTTTTGACATCTAAGTGAAAAACATTCAAATTTAATTTCACTGATAATCCAAAAAGCATTCCAATTGTACTGTGTCTTACCACGGGTGAAAAAGTCTCGTCATAATCCAGTCCTTGTTTTTGTGTATATCCCTTCGCTACTAACCTTGCATGGTAAACATAATCACTTTCCGAATCACCACACTTGATTTTGAATACCCACTTGCATTCAACAATGGTTCCACGGCTGGGTATGCCCACTAAGTCCCAAGTGTCATTTTCCTCAAATTAATGGATTTCCTCCATCATGGCTTTTCTCCATTTTTCTTTGTCAGGTCTTGATAAAGCTTCCTTAACACTCAATGGAACATCTTCTAGGTCAATCTCATTCTTGTACATATAGGTTACATAGTCTCCTAGCTGCTTGTTTGGTACTCTGACTCTTTCTGATCTTCTTGGTATCACAGGTTCTTGATTTTCTGACTTTAGGCTCACAAAACTCTTTTCAGTTGTTTCATTTTCCCCCACTGAATCCTTGTCTTCTTGGTTCTCTGTGTTTAAGCTGTCAACATCACTAATTATTATTCCTGCGTTTTCTTTTTCATGAATAGTGACATTCCGGCTGAAATAACTTTTTTATCAATAGGATCAAACAACCTATATCCTTTAACATTATCCCCAAAACTAACCAATATCATTTTTCTTGATTTCTTGTCCCATTTATGTCGTTTGACTTTTGGTATATGAACCATAGTCTCGCTACCAAAAATTCTAATATGGCTGATATCTAGTTTTTTCTTATACCAAAGCTCATATGGTATTTTATACTGCAGACCTCTAGCAATACAACTGTTTCTCAATATATATAGCTGTATTAACTGCCTCAGCCCAAAAAATCTTCGATAAATCAGCTTCGAACAACAAGCATCTGGCTTTCTCAATGACAGTTCTATTTAAACGTTCACACATTCCATTTTGTTGGGGTGTATGGGGGTTTGTCTTTTGGTGTATAATCCCCTCTTTCTTGAGAAACTGCTCAAAATCACTCTTACAAAATTCTCCTAAATTATCTGACCGTCATCTTTCGTTTTCAAAAAATTAACATGTGCATATCTGCTGAAGTCCTGAAGTCCTCAAAAAGTAGGAAATATTTGGAACCTCCTATAGAAACTTCTTCCATGAGCCCGCACAGATCAGTATGCACCACCTCCCATGGTAATTCAGCTCGTTGACCTTCATGTCTAAAAGGGAACTTTGATTGTTTTCCTTCACAACAAGTTATACAAAGTTTATTTTCACAAACATTGCCTTTCATGTTGTATAAACCTTCTACTGAATCGTGGTTTTTCCTAGCTATCAAATCTTGAAAAAAGTGTGCTTATCTGCGATGCCATACTTCTTTTGAAACTGTCAGATTTAAAACTGCATCAGCTGATTTCTCACACACCTCACTTTCATGTGATAAGCACCTTTTCAGCTTATGAACATTTTCAGTAAACTGAGCAACAGCAATAATATTTCCATGACTGTTAATGACCTTGAAATTTGTCACTTAAATTGACTTTGTTTCCATTTTTGATGATTTGGCCAATGGATAACAAATAAGTTGTCACTCCTGGAACATATAGAGCATTTCTAATCTCTATATTATGCTCCTGCCCATCTACAATGGTTGTAAGTTGTATGTTTCCTGTACCCATCACTGGTAGTTTGGTTTGATCAGCTATAGTAATTTTCCTTGGTTCAACCACATTTTGAAAATCACTTATCCATTCTTTTTTACATAATGTAATATGATAGCCTGCCCCAGAATCTATGGTACCAATCACTGTTGCTGAATTCTCCGCTCATAAGGACTGCACTAAGAGCACTGATATTTTTGCTTTTGTCGCTCTGGCTTGAATTGTCATCTGAGCTGCCTTTGCTGCCTTCGGACTTTGATATTGGAATAAACAAACTCAATATTTCTGTCACGCACTTCAGAGTCGTGACAATACATTTAAAAAAAATTTTGCAAAACTCACACCTTGTAGTTACCAATTAAAAAGGATGAAACAGAAAAAAAATTAATAAAAAAAAAAACAGTCAATAAAATCATCAAGGTAACTCATCGAAGAATCCCTATTTGACTACATAATTACAGTGTAATTTGACACTTGTCGACAAAATAATAATGTCCATCAGACTCACTTAAATATTCCAAACAAAGACAAACAAAAACAAAACTACTGTATTGACCACTTGGACACCTCTCTTATATACGAGTACTACTTAAATTATGCTGAAAGAAAGGTGCAGAGAATGCGTAGGATGAATTCGGAGAGTCAATATAAGCGTGCACTCGTAAACGATTTTAAAATGGGATAAAATACACTCGAAGTACTTATTAATGAATGTACGAACCGCCTACGCGGTCCTATAGTGATTTGCAAATCTAACACATAACAACGGACCGCTCTGTGTGCACACTACAAAAGCGTTTAGTACTGCTCGAAGGTAATTTTATTTAAATGGTGTCTCTACACATTTTGCGAATTCCGATTGTTGCTTTGTTTGCTCTATTGTTGTTTGTGTTGACTTATCAAAGGCATTTGGTATATCTGTTTTATCTTAGAATTGGAAATAAGGAATACATTTTCTAACGGTGGTCCAGCTGCTTCAAATTAATACACCTTGATTGATATGCAATTTATGAGAAAATCTTGACGTTAAAGTTTACCAAGTGTCATAGGCATTTGATCTTAGTACTAGCCTAAATATGCCTATCCGTAACTCTAAGTTATTCAAATAATGGATTCACAATTTTAGGTATCTTATATTTATTTAGCTGTCATTAGGCCTTATCTTATTACCTGAGGGACTCAACATAAATCAGTGGGAAATAGCTTTACACCCGATTCGTTTATTAATCTATATCTCAAGCATTTTCCAACTCTCAAGAAAATCTTCTTTTTTCCTTTTCTGCACTAGTTTCATTCAAAAGAACGTGCGAAGTTCAAAACATATCCCCATAAATGGAAGAGGTAAGTCTCATTGAATATACCTACGTACGTATATAATTATTATCGATCTGTAACGTTCTACACATCTTAGTCTAAGGCTCACATTTCCTCTCAAGGACTTGCTTGGGTATTCATACCAAATCAGTTGTTCGTCTTTGATATCATCTTGGGTGTCCCTCAATCATAATTTCTCTAATTCTCTGGTTTGTTATCGTTTCCATTTCTGTCCTGCCTACGGCTCTCCTCCAAAAGTCCATTTTAGTTGTTTCCAGCATTTTTACGGTTCTGTCTTTTAGTGGCCAGGCCTCGAAACTAGGTATATGTAACTATGCTAGGTGTTGTATCTTCTGGTTGATATTGAGTAATTGATTAAGTGGGAATGTCTCATTGAAGCTTAATCTTAAATACTACTTCAATTTAGCAGGGATCTTGAAATAACTGTATTCCTCAAGCATCTGGTTGCTAGAGATGGTGTAAAATTACTTTTTTCTGATTCTGCAGTACCTCATATACACATTCAATTCGAACATTCTCATTCTACAAGTTAAACTGTTTTTCACCAAAATGAAATCAATAATGAGCATTATGGCGTTGAAGACGTAATACATTGATTATGAAATACCTACGAAGCATTTAAAGGCAATTTGTTGTATTCACAAAGCTTACTACTGAAATGTTCCACTTGCCAAAAAATCAATCTATTTATAACTTAAACTACATAAAAATCCATAAGTTCTTACCAGGTATTGAGAAGTTATTATGATCCACAGCCTGAAGGATGAGAGTGAAAGATCTCTGAAAAAAAAAATTAAAATTAAATAAAGAAGTGGTGTAATTAGTGTAATTGGAACCAAATCGTTTTTTCATAAATAATATTTTGAATAAGCTATAGGTTCTTTTCTTATCTTTATTCAATAAATAAGCTTTTCGTGTTGGTACAAAAGTTTTCGAAGTTCGGTCATTAGTAATCTTCATGGGAGGTAAGTATATATACAGCTATTTAGTGAATAATATATTCAAATAAAGAAAGATATGTCTCTATAGGAAAGAGAAATTTCCATAAATGGACAAAATTTAAAGGCACAAGTGTTAAAATTAATATCTGACATTATTATTGCTTTATTACCTTTCTGAAAAATACACCTTCTTAGTTTTGATGTAATAGTTAGGACAAAATAAAACAGTATTTCGTGTAGTAACTATTGTCATTGGAGAAGGTATATATACCAGATATCTTATATTTAATTTGAAAAAGTATATTAAATATAAATTGTCTCAAATTTCACACAAAGAAATATTCAATCTTCAGACAAAATCAATCTTAATTTGATATTAAGTTATTGAAATTTTTCTTTCAATTTATTGGCTGAAGATAGGGCAAACATCTAGTTCAAGATTATTTGTATACATACATATACCAATAATTTTTCATATGTACAAATACAAGCCAATTCAACTTATAATATATTTTGTCTAATTCAATCCAAGTTTTTCCAAGCAAAACAAGGTTATATTAAACCTATACCTATCGCAGTTGTGGTTTTATCCTTCCAAAAGCTCCCTATTTAATCCTCTTTTGTGAATCAGAGGACTTAGCTTAGAATGAGACCCTTGTGTTTATTTTCTGCTCAAAAACGATTCCATCAGCTCGAGCAATTTTGATCCAGATCATTATATTTTTATGTAAGTCCTACTAAGCACTTATTTCAAAGTTGTCTTTATCAATATATATGTTTGGTTTTTTACAATTTTTAATTGAAAAATACGTTATTAAATAATTTCCAAAAGAAGAAATTCCAATTAGTCGTTATTGTCACACTTTATGATTCCAAACAGGCCAATCAAAAAATAAACAGTTATCATTATACTCGGCAAGACCGAAATTAAATTACGGATTTTATGCCCTGTGACAGTCACAAGTTTATTATTACGCGTACCCATGGTACTACTTGGAGAAAATGCGCCATTCTTTCGAGATTTCAATGTAATTATCCATGGGAAAAGAACAAGTTTACAACATGCGTTTAAATTCACTTCCACCTGTTCAAAAAAAAACTATATCAAGATTATCTAATGTGCGTAAAAACGCGCGGTTAATACTTTAATGACCAGTTACATTTTACACACATATTTTAATTGAGTCGCAAGTACTATCAATATGGTAATAACTAATTGCTTTAGGCGATTAAGTCTTTACTAGGAGATAATGGAAAATAGTGACACTGTATTATTATTTGAGATTTTATGTAAGAAATGTGCAAATTGTTTTTATAGTAAGACATAAACACATCTTCACGCCCAAATAGCATCTACGTGACAATAAAATCATACTTTCAAAACAATAGTGCAAAGGACGCATAGAGGAGAGAGTTGCTTAAGATACAGTGATGACACTGAGTAGGAAGAAAATAGATTATGAAATAGGTATTGGAATTTCAAGTGGGCAAATAAGTGCTTTTAATATGGTTATTTTCTGATATCAGTAGCGTAGAACCTTTCAATATAATAATTACTCAAACGCACTTGTTATTTTATTATAGTCAGAGATTTTCAACAAACAAATACTAAACAGGTGTTACCCATATAATTGGTTATGTTACAAGTGATAAGAAAGATGTATGGTATGGTATGGCGGCAGTGACAGAGCGCAGATAGTCTTGAACGTGAAAAAATAAAGAAGAAATATGGTAGCAAGGACAGAAAAAGTCAAATAAGCTAAGACACATCGTGCACGAACAACATGAGATTCTGTCATATATTCGGGATGATTCCATCCAAGATATGGAAATTCCAGTAATACAAGGGTCAGAGGAACTTCCAGATATAACCGAAAGGGAAATTGAAACAACCATAAAATGCACGAAGAACAATAGAACTCCTGGAGAAGATGGCATTGTAACTGAAATGATGAAACTGGGAGTTAAATGCATCATAAAAGCCCTAAAACTCTTTATAATGCCTGCCTCTTTGAAAGAAGTACAGGGTAAGCCAAACAAGTTGTTTTCTTATGAGAACACACCTCATTTGAAGAAAAAGGAAATTTTCAACCCCCGTTTTGTGAAAGGATGATACACACCTACAGGATTGCTTATCGATCTCGTTTTTGGTAATCGCCGCCATATTGGTGTGTCACCCTTTTCGACGTCATAACTAAGTCGTCAGCTGTTTAAACAGCCTACCTAAAAGCGAGAAATAACATGCTGCCTACGTCGCAACTGGTGATTTGACGTAAGGGGAAGAGGGGAATTTGCTCCACACGGGCCTTATGAGGATAGGCTATCCTGTGTAGTAGTAGTGTGTATCATCCTTGCGTTGTGTGTATGTGTGTGTTGGAGGTGTCAGTTGCACCGCGACCAAGGTTGATATATTGTACTCCTTCTGCTATTAAGTTCGGGTTTCCTAGTCCTAGGTCCTTTAGGAGTTTCAGGATGTCTAGTAGTTCCAGGGCTGGAATGTCTTCCAACTGTATAAGGGCACTTCCCAGGTTTTTCATCTTTGAGCGATTAACGGCATTGCAGTTCAGTAGAATATGGTGAGGTGTCTCTTCTCCGTCTTCACAGAATCTGCAGGTGCCACCTTCTTCTAACCCCAACTTCTGTAGGTGTTTCTCAAGTTTGCAATGTCCCGAGAGAAACTCGGTTAGAGTCTTAAGACTTTTCTTGCTAAGGTTGACCAGCAGTTCTGATCTTTTTTGGTTGAAGTTGCTCAATAGATCTTTGGCCTGCCGTAGTCCTGGCTGTTCTAGCCATTGTTTGTACCTTAGCCGGTTCTCTTCTTTTTTGAGGATTTCTTGGACCTGCGCATTTCTGATGCCGCAAAATGGTTCTGGCCCAGTGAAGGGAGTAGACGGTCCCGTTCTTGCGAGCCTGTCTGCGCATTCATTGCTCTCGACACCTATGTGTCCGGGAACTCAGAGGAGGGTTACTTTATTTTGTTTTCCCAGCTCATTTAGTTTCTGTAGACATTCCCATACTGTCTTAGAATTGATGACCGGGGATCTCAATGCTTTGATAGCTGCTTGGCTGTCAGACACTATTACAATCTCTCGTTTTGGAACCGTTTGTGTACCATTTGATAATGTTTACTTTAATGGATTGGATAGATTCCATGTTATATTTGTTTGTTTGTATTTAGTTCGCGCATCCTGCTGAACCAGATGGTGTTTCATTTCCGTTAGAAATTACAAGAGTCGTTTCCTTATTCTGTCAATAATGACGAGATTCGTCGTGCAATTTATAGCTTCAAACATGGTTCTGCCGGCGCTTTTGATGGTTTACGGTCTCGACATATAATAGACTTGACTTCGACAACTCGTCTGCGCACTTGTTATCCGCTATTGGTGGAGTAGTCGATTTGATGATCCGAGGGAAAGTTTGTGACAGTATTTGTAGCCTACTTTAAGGAGCTTCAATATGCGATCTTATGAAAAAAGAGGGGGGAATTAGGCCAATAGCAATGAGAAATACTATAGGAAGAATTGCTGTAAAATTGCTGTTCAATATTCAGTTGATCCTTTCAATTGGGCTATGGCAACAAAGGTGGTGCTGAGGCTATGGTTCATACGGCGCGTTCTTTTATAAACGAGAAAGATAACATAGAATATCGTGTTTTTCTGAAACTAGATTTCCGGAACGCTTTTTAGCTGTGTCAGCGGACCTCAACTCCTGAAAATGGTACAGGACTTTATTCCTGAGTATTATAGGCAACAATATCGCTACCTTTCTCAATTAAGATACCTTGAACACGCCATCGATTCTGCTTGGGGACTCCAACAAGGTGATCCAGTAGCACCTCTAAGATTCTGCATTGCTATAGTTCCTTTAGCGCAACGATTAAATTCTGCTCTGGTTTTACGGTATTTGGACGATGCTGTATTGGGTAGAGCTTCAGATACCGTTCTTCAAGAAGGAAATGAAGAGAAAATAATAAACAGAAACTTAGGAAAATAAAACAGCATAAACAAATAAACTATCGAAGAATATAAAGAAAGACTTAAAGAAATACAAAAACGATCAAATGATACAAACTATAGATAACAACAGAGACATAAAACAAATTTTCAATTGGAAGAGAACAAATTTTCAAACTAAAAAACAAAAACAAACATCAAATTACAAAAAACCAAGAAGAAATTATGATTATACCAACCAGAGTACTAAATCAGGAATCGATGGAGTTTTGATAGAAGCAATGAAGGAAAGAGGAAGAAATTCCTAAAAAATGGAAGAAATCAATTACTTTATTTAATGAAAAGTTATTGGTTTATATTGGTCAGTGTTGGCCGATATCCACTAAATGAGCCACGCGTTTTTATTATTATCGTCCGTTTCGGGTTTAGAAGAAGAGGTAGAAAAAGAATATTATATTATGTGCACAGGTGCATCGCTCTCGTATGTAAACATTCACGGCTTTCCCTTGGTGCCGTACTATGTACACTGTTGCGTGGTATGCGAAGGTCCACCGCCAGCGTGGTTTCGCGTGGTCAACCAACCAACCAGCTTATACGGTCGGTGCAACCGGGCAGCCTATAAATCAATGAAATTCAATTTTGGTATGCACGTATGCGGACCGGAGTGTTTGGTTAATTAGTGCCACGGGTAATTAAAATGAAAAATATTGTTGCAATTTGCCAAGAATTGCAAGGCATCATGTACCTACCTACCAGTAAAAGTGGACGATAAGAGGAGGATTTTTTTTTTTAACAGAAAAAATAGTTCCTTTTAAAGGAAAAATAGTACATAATTATAAATTTCAATTAACAATCACGTACAATTCATTGACCTAAAATAAGAGAA